TCCCCACTGAAAGAACCCTTTATGGACATCCACTCCATAAGTTTATAACCATTCGTGGGAAAATATTTGACCCAAATGCTCTTTGCTCCTCAGTGACATGGATCATAATTCTACCACAGTGAACTTATCCCCTTCCCAAGCACGGAATTTGCAATCTACTCACTCCAAATACACACATAAACCCTGCTAGTTCTTCTTATACCTTGAGCTTGTAATCTGTCCTGTTTCTTTTTAAAAACTAGTTTTAGAAATATTCCTCTATCTCCATTTTCAACAGAATATCTGGTCCTGAAGCTCTTCAGCCAGGAAAATTCAGAAGGGCTATAAATCTGATGAAGAACTTCTCTAATTCTCCCTGTATGACACATTCTTTGGTCACTTACGGGGCTTTGGTAACTGATGGTATGGATTCATTTCTAAGTTCACTTAAGTTAGATGATTCAAACAAAAACTCCTCATATTCTCTCTGTTGGTGTCCCTGTGTTTGGTCGACATAGCATAAATTATGTTCATAATTTATGTGCAATATCTGAGAAGTGGCAAAGATAAACTAACCTTGTGACATGTTTTTGATATATTTCCTTTACATATCTCCGGAAAGAAATTTAAATTCCTAACCATTTCTTTATGATAATCCTTTGGAATTATCTGACTCTTGGAATATTTCTGGTAGAGAAATGAGGATCTAATGAATTAATGCTCTTGGAAAGAAGTTTATGGTAATGGTAGTGTTCTGACAACTTTGATATTCTCTTTCATAGAAGAAATTCCATTCCCAGATACGAAGTAGGTTTTATGAGCAGCAATAGGAATAGCAATGCCTTTCAATAGTATTCCATCTTAAAAAGGAATAGGAAGATTTGTTGAGAGATTTTTTTTTCCCAAATTTTAGTGGAAAACATCTTAACATTAAAGGCATTTATACCTAAAATAATTCTGAATAGAAACTAGTGATGTTAACAGTGTGGATTAACTGACATTTCATGGAAGTCTCTATAGTTTTGCTGTTGATGGAATGAATGAGAGTTTAAGAATACTGAGAATTTCAGCAATTCCTCCAAAAAAAGAAATATACATTTCGCAAAAGACTATCTGAGTCAAAGCATTGAAAGCTAATGAAAGTGAAATATTTCTGGCAGAATATTTTCAGAATCACATAGATAATTGAAAACAATTGTTTCTACTTTAACACATTTAAAAAACTTGGTTGCTGCAAGAAAGAGTACAGATAGGGGTTCTCTCAGTTTAATAGTAGAGGAATTCTATTTGGGTCATACTGAGTTCAATTATGTAATTTTTGTATTAGTGTCCTGAGATGATATTTGGTTAAATAGCTAATATGGATGTTGTAAAAATGGATATGAGACAAGAAGATAAAAATTATTTTGTTTCCTATGTGATGGATGTAAGAAAACTGAGACATTGGTCTGTGTCTATTCTGTTTATCACATAGATCATGTTTAAAAAAAAAAAGCAGATCCTTAAAAGCAATTCAAGACATATATATTGGATGAAATGTAAATTTATTCAGCATAGAAAGTTCTGAAATTGCAATTGGTAAAATCATCCAAGAAAATTGTATTTGTGCAACAATAAGCATGTATTTATACATATTTCAAATAATAACTCATAAACCTATACCAAAAACACATGTAACTATTATTTTCTCAACTGAATTATGAATCACTATAAATCTCAGAAGTGAATTTGTAAGTGTTTTTCTTTTAAATTTGAAGATAATGTTACACACAGGTTTGGAGTTGTTTTCATTTTTAGGATGATATGAGGGAGTATTTTTTTTTATCTAGGCCGTTTGTGATTACTGTTAATGCATTTTTCAAAATGTTTCACTTTAGTGGACAGCATAATTGTTTTAAATAATTATGGTAAGTAAATACAATCCTTTGGTTGTAATCACATTTCCATTAACTCATGAAGTTGATGTTCCAGTATAATAGTTTTATAATCTTCATAAGCAAAAACCAAACACCTAGAAATCCTCTCCATTTTTTATTGAAGCAGCAACATATTTTATCTTTCACAACATCTTGATTTCCTAACATGACACCATAAAATTTGTTGGCTTGTACACTCAGTTATATCAACAAATACAGCCTTGTAGCTTTATTACTTGTTATTGCTCTCGTATCTTTAGCCACTGACAAACCATTGGGCAACAAGAAACCTAACCTTTCAATTTTGGCTTATTTCACACAGATTTATTACTGTAATAATTATCACCTTGAACACTTGATAATCCTCTTACCCTTCGATTTAAGAACAGTTGATAATTGCCTATACCTGTTATATCTTTTGTCCCATAAGTTAGTATTCTCCCTTCCTCTGACCCTTTCTCAACAATCCCGTTTTTGCCTGCTCTTGGCACACTTCTAAGCCATCTGGTTGTTATTAGCACATGAGGTTTAATTCTAGCCACTTCCTTGGTGTGCAGATGTCACTCCTGAATCACTGGGAACCCACTGCTTCCTGAGGTAGCCCATGCTATCTTTACATAGGTCAGTTGAGCAGACTTTTACCTTTCTTACATAAATAATAGAAATCAACAAAGTGATTTTTACATTTGTCCTCACATGTATGAGAGTAACTGAAAAAGTTTGTGAGGAATAGAATTAGCTTATCTTCATGTAAATAAACTCTTGAATCCATTCATACAAAGGGTCTTCAAAATGTTCATGGAAATAAATTTTCCAAAAAAAGTGAGGATTCCTAAGATTTCATTTTATCCAATTTTCTATGAACTTTTGATGTTCCTTTATATGTCAAACTGTGGAGGTCTTTTTTTCTTCCTGGTTTTGCATATGTGTTCCAGATCTACAGTTCTGCAGAAGGAAGGATTTTTTACGAAAGCTCTAGCTTTCGTATTTTCTTGCCATGACCCACCCTCCTTCCACCTTAAAATTACAATAGTATGTGATCCTGCTTTGGGCATAGCACATGTGTAATACATGTTTAATGGCTAAGCTGCCTTCTAATTATTAAATATATAAGTGTTAAATAAATTATCAAAGCATGATAACTTTTCTAAGAAATGATCCTATAGATTTTAATTATGAAGATTGAATGCAACCCTAATAATGTGTATACTCATTCATGTATTGCACAAAATGCCTAAATATTACTAATTGTTTCAGCAAATACTACATTGTTATATAGTTACCTACAAGTGATTAATGGAGAGAATGTTACATAATGTCTATCTGCCCAGCCCTCAAATGGTTTTTCTGTGCATGTACAACACTATTATCTTCTAGATATTGTAATTACTAGCTTTATTTCTACACATGCGACTTCATGAAATGCAGGAAATACTGAGTTTATGATGTGATTATGAGAAAATACCTTAGCACGGCTAATCCAAAAATAGAATCGTCATTTTCAAATAGTCTTTGTAGTCCAAATGTCCTTGCCTTTTAAATTATTTGCAAAATTATCTAACATTTATGAATAGATCTCCCATGGCACTTTTAATCATTGCAATCAGCCAGAGCCTACAGCAGTTAGATTTTAATCAGAACCTTTAATTCTTTGCAGTAACCTGAAAGTAGACAATTATAAATACATGCATTTAGATTTCTTCTCCTGCTCTTCACCCAGGAGGCACAAATACCAAGTGTGATAAAGGCCCTTGAAGAGAACTGGTTGCCTTTCATTTGTCCCAAATAAAGTGGAAATATTCTCCAGGGTCAGCTAGATCATCAACTGGTGTCTGATATAAAGACAGATATATGGTGTTAGCCTTTTCACTAAAGCTGTTATTTATTTTATGAAAAATAAATATTGACTCATTTGTATAATGTCTTTCCAGGGTTAAGAGTTTAGTTTATACCACTGAATTAGATTGAAGGTCTGGGGCAAGATGGACTTGGATTATGGTGTGGAGTACAGTTATGGAGGAACAGGGAACAAGGATTGTCTATAGACCACTGGAATCTATTGCTCTGCTTTGCCGTCCAGAAATTTCACTTATTCAGTTTTTATGAGTGGTATATCTCTTTAAAGCCCACTTTTATGTCCATTAATCATTTATACAATTTTAGAAGGCAGAATGCATGAAACTTGGAGCTAATTATGCATTCTATATGCTTCTGGAAGTCTGGATGAAAGTCATGTTCCAACACTCAATTTCCTACCCTAAATCTCATTTCCAACGTGATGATTTAATGATCTATTTACTTATAAGTTTCGCCTTTAGGCACAATGATTATCCTGGTTAGCTCCACTTGAAAGAACAGACTTTTACTTCACAGACTCTGTAAGCCTTTAGAAAAATCATTGTGGGTTTTTAAAACATATTTCATAAGGAATTTGTTAAAAATTATGCTTTGCCTGTCCCTGGGTAAAAAATGATTCCATAATGTCTTAGGCAGAGTTTAAGAGTCATAGCATCCACAGTTTTCAAATTTCATTGATTAAACATGGGAGTAAACCAGTTATGGAAGTAAGTAATATGTGTGAGGACAAATTGAAGCTTCGTTTACCAATTCTAAAGTCAGTATGTGTGCACAATAAAATAATGACTAAAAATGACACAATTCTTAACTGTGATGATTGTAAATCAATTTTCCTGATCAATTTTATTGTGCTAGCATTCATTGTCAATCTGTCACATTCCATGTGACTCACTAGCTGTGAATGCAAACATTAATTTCACACACACCCTTCAAATTTTGCTCTCTTACTATTTCTACAGTTTTGGAAAACACTCTTCTTTAGTGGTAACATTTCAGGTTTTAGGAGCAGGTTATATCACTTTCTTTTGATAAGTTATTTTTCCTATGTTTCTAACAGCAGAGTGCAGTATGTTACAAGCAGAGATGCTTTTGTGATTTGATGTTTATTCATTCCTCTTAGACTGTGGGTTGTTTTATTTTGCATCCTTGTTATATATGCTTTAATTTGAATATGTGCAAGAACGCTTCTGATATAACCCCCACATTAGTATTTTCTAAAACTTAAGTCAACAACATTACTTTGACTGTGTTCTTGATTTAGTGAGAACAATGCGAAGTGGATTTCGGGTAGGGAGGGGCTGTTTCCTTCTAGATGTCAGTCTCTACCCCAGAGCCACATTTGCGACAGAAGATTTCCATGTTCTGGGTTAGGAAGCCTTCACCCACCAACGAGGTGGAACACTTTCCACAGTTGAAGCACTCACTATGCCACTGGCGATCTTGAAAGCAGATAAACTTGGCACCTCTGAGACCTGTGAGATGGAGCAACAGCAGGGAGTAAAACACCATAGGATGCTGCTTTCATGGCCCATGGCCTTTTATCCAGCTTTTAGAGTTAGTCATAAGAAAGCTCCTCCTACATGACCAGATTACTCAACCTAGTGTCATGATCTACAGAAATTAAATACAATCTAGATATACAAACCACATATATTTTGAAAACAATGAGGAACATCTAAGAGAAAGAAATGCAGTGTAGTACAGGTCTAAGTGGTTTTTGAAGTCAGAGCTATCTAAGAAGGAATATCATTCCCTATTCTTTATATGACCCAAATTTTCTCATCTGAAAAAGTTATAAAGAAAAAAAAAGTACATTTTTAGCCTAGTGTTTAGTGTTCCAATGACTTTTAGGTTTATTCTTTCTCCTCATTTTTCCATGCTTTGTTTTATTTGGAGTAAATCACATGGTCAAATTATGATTTGGACACAAAAGACAACTTGATATAGTTGCAACAAAGATCAATGAAGTTGGTGGCTTCTCTTTTTCCCGAATTGTGGTATGCAGTTCTAGAAAAATAATTTAGAGAAAGATTTCTGGTTCTGGAAAAGGTCTGTCTTTGAGATGTTTCCCCCCAGTGACCACCATGTTAGGACTTCCTGTGATTGTGTGTATCATCCATGGCATGTGGCTAAAGTAATACACATGCTGAATTATATGTGATTTTTCAAATACTCAACTTAGATTGGTGAACACAAAGGATTAACAACCATTCTACTTCAGATAAACTCTCCATGAAGATGATAATGAACATTCGTTTCAATCCTAAAATCATTTGATGGTTTTAGATACAATTTAGTACTTCATACGGAAATGTGCATCACATTCCTACTTTTACTGATTAAATTTGTAGCTTGATTATGTATGATGCCACCAACATCACTTCCTAATAAGAGTAAATCAATAGTGCACCAATTAATTTTCTTAATGCTATTCAAAACATTAGTAAGCTGCATGCAAGAGTGATGTTCTATATATATATACATAAATTATTTCTGTTCACCAAGCTTATTATTACGTCTAGCATTTTGATTTTCATGTCTTTTTTTTAAAAAAAAATTTATCAGCAGGCTTTGGACAAATGAAATAAATAAAAGTAATCTAAAATTTTAGAAAGAAACAAATAGAAGCATCTGACAGAACTTTAAGAAAGACTTAATCTGATACATGAAATATTTGTAAATCATTACAAATTTTGACCATGAGCCCTGCGAGTCATTTGTAACGAGAATTCATCAAGTATAAAGGGGTTATCACCTGTTTTTTTTTAAAGAGTCAGCAGACTAAGAACAAGCATTTGCTGATAACTTCAATATGTGCCAGTCAATATCCAAAGCTCTTTATATGTACTACCTCATGTAATACTCACCTTGATTTCATTGGATAGACATTTGCATCATTGTACATTTGTTAATAAAAACTGAACAAAAAAATTCACCCACTGCCAAAAGTCACCCAGCTGGTCACCCAGTTGGTACATGGCAGATTGGAGATTCAAGCTCCAAGCTATCTTGCTTCAAAGTACATGTTTTAGAACTCCCTAAATGAAATCTGACTTCTACATCTATAAAGAACATTGCTAGGGACCTTAGCATCTCTCCTTGTAGAAACTTTAATGCTTGAATGACCTTTTTCCCAAAATAAACGCATATGGAAGAAAGTTACAGTGTGATCCTGCTCAACTCCTCATTTTGCAACAAACAAACAAACAAACAGTAAAGAAGGGCATCCAAAATTAAACTATCTGTCTGTCTGTCTTGGGTCATACAGGAGTCAAAGGCAGAAACAACACCATTGTTTTTCAACAAAGTTCAGAGCAATTTCCATTACGCTAAACAGCTTCCTTTATCCCAGATACGTTGTGATGTTAATCGCATTCTAAAGGAATGAGGGGAATATTATAGTTACACAGAGTTTATTCAAATTAAGTAAGTTCATTATGACAGTGTTAAAAAAACTACGCTTAACTGCTTGTAAGTGGATTTGGTTCATTCTGAAAATATCTTAGTATTTAACTTCTTTTTAAAATTAATTCTTAGCACACAACATTGCTGGTTTCTGGTGTACAACATGTTGTTTTGATGCATTTATACATTGTGGTATGGCTATATTAAGCTATTTAATATCAGTATTACCTGATTTATCATTTTTGTCATGAGAATATTTATGTTAGATATGTTCAAGTATTCTAGATTAATACATTGTTTTTTAACTAAGGTCAGCATGTTTTACAATGGATTTTCTGGATTCATTCCTCCTAACTGAAATTTTCTATCTTTTGAGTGTAACAAATTGCTTTTTAAGGTGATGTAATATTTTCAAGAATGCCCAAACTTCTGATGATAAATACGTAGCAGTATCAGAATTTTCCATGGCACATTAATTCAAACAACCCATATTTCAAGATAGCACTATAGCATAGCCTACACATGTAACAGTCACAAAAATATTAAAATGATCTAAAAGCTTCTGCAGGTATTTCAGTCTTTGGCGTCACAATTACAGAATCAAAAGAAGATTGAGACAATTATTACAAGTTTCCCTTTGCCTAACTATTCTGACTTAAATATGTAATATTGCACTTGTACTACTTTTGAGTAAATGTTTTGTTCTTTTTTTTCTAGATGTTTTATTCATTATGATTTGTATGTTTGGGAACAGAACCGTGTTTTTCTGTCTGAACATTAAAAAAGCCATCTCACTGATTGATATCATCTCAGGAAAATCTCTTACAAGCATAAATGTGTGATGGATCAGAAACACATCAAAATCGGGGGTTATGTAAGTAATTAAAATCAGCATTAGCCAGTGGGGACCCCAGTGAACTTTGAAGGCCATTTGGAGTTGTTAAATTTGTCCATCTCCTCAGTGAAGCAACCTTGCTCCTTTATTTGTGACCTAGTTTTATAACAGTGAAAATAAATTGGCTGTAATTACAGATTTCAATTAAGGACAATTTTGCTTCCAAGTAATTGTACATCTGGAGGTCCTATATTCTAACTGCAATCAGTGGAAAGGATAGCCTGTTCTGATGGCTATAGAGGGTCTCATGGGCATAGACAATCCAAAGGCAGGCGAGCAGAGTTCTTAAGGGTCTCAGGCTCGTAGTCTAAGGATCTGAGACTGCTAGTGTAGCTGCAGGAGTGACACAGCTGAGTGACAGACTGTGAAGAGGTCATGCCCCACACAACAGCTTCTGAAAGCTTCTGAATTCTATGTAATGGTTTATCTTCTGGAGGGACATGAAAGCAACCTGTTCACCCATGAAAAACTCAATTGCTTTTTACTTCAAAGGTTGGTTTTAACATTAGTTTAAAAATGTATGAGCCAAGGACTCAGCAAGGTTACCTAGCTGTTAAGTTCTCACTTTGAACGTGCCAGGATCCCAAATAGGCACCGGTTTTAATCCTGGGCACTCCAGTTCCCATCCAGCTCCCTGCTTGTGGCCTGGGAAAGCAGCTGAGGAAGGCCCAAAGCCTTGGGATCTTGCACCCATGTTGGAGACCAACAGGAGGTTCTTGGCTCCTGGGTTCAGATCAGCTCAACGCCAGCCATTGAGGCAACTTGGGGAGTAAATCATCAGATGGAAGATATTTCTCTCTGTCTCTCCTCCTCTCTGTATATCTGATTTTCCAATAAAAATAATCAAATCTTAAAAAGCCGACATGTAAGCCAAACAAACCTGCCACCTGGCCACATGTAGCCTTGTGGGCAAGCACAATATTGTGAAAAACATGGAGCTCTTGTACTGCAAACAAGGACTTTGTGTATAATTGTGTGCATGGGTGTCATCCTCCCTTCTTCTCTTACCAAAATCAGTGGAATTCTGCCAAACTGGGACTTCTCTTTCATTGGAAGATGTGAGAAGATTCAACTTAGTTATTTGGAGATGAATGAGGAGAAAAGAGATTAAACGGTACTTAGCTCTGTGTTTCATAAGCTAATTTTTTTTAAAGTGCAATTTGAACTAAGGGTACTAGGAATACATAGAGAAACACAGTTCTGTCACATTATTAAGTGGTTCCAAATTGCCTGCGAGTATAGGTGCTAAGTTTTTCAGGTGCCATGCTGGTTTCAGTACCTACTATTGGATTAGTGGTTCAGATATTCTCTGAGGGAAATATAGTCCAGTATTTTATAACTGGAAAATCTCTTTGTTTCTTTTAACGTATTACTTATTTTTATTTGAAATGCAGGTTTTACACAGAGAGGAGAGATAGATAAGGTCTTCTATCTGTTGGATCACACCCTGAATAGACACAGTTGCCAGAGCTGAGTTGATCTGAAACCAGGAGCCAGGAACCAGAAGCTTCTTCTGGGTCTTTCACATGGGTATAGGGTTCCAAGGCCCTAGGCCATACCCTCCACTGCTTTCCCAGGACATTAACAGACAGCTATATCATAAGTGGAGCAGCTGGGACTTAAGCTTGTACCATATGGCCAAGTTCATCAGGGGGAGAATTATCCAGCCCCTGGAACATCTCTTTACCAAGGACAATTCACCATTTATATCATTTTCAAATCATGTCCTGAGTTTTTTTTTTTTTGTTTTGTTTTGTCAGATAGAATGTTATCTTGTTTTCTTTCATCCATTTATAATCAGAATTTATTACAAGTAAATAAAAAAAGTTTTTAAATGAAGTCTAATTCTTGACCTATGTTACTCTAATTATTACAGCTTCCAATAGTTTATAGAACATTTGCACTTAAAATTCTTTATATTTTCTGTGAATTTAGCCCTTGCAGAAATCTAATGTTTCAGCATCTCTTTCATGTCCTCAAATTGCTTTAAAATTTTAATTGGATTGGCATCCCAAATGGGTGCTGATTCCAGTCCTGGCTGCTCTCCTTCGTATCCAGCTCCCTGCTAATAGCCTGGGAAAGCAGCAGAAGACAGCCCAAGGCTTAGGGCCCCTGTATCCATGAGAAAGATGCAGAGGAATTCTTTGACTCCCAGCTCCAGACAAGCACCCAGCTCTGGACATTGCAGCCATTTGAGGAATGAACCAGTGATGAAACATTTTCTTTCTCACTCTTTTCCTCCTTCCCTCTCTTATTTGAGGAGTGAACCAGTGATGGAAATTTCTCTCAATCTCACTCTTTTTCTCCTTTATAACTCTCTTTCAAATAAAAATGAACAAATTTTTAAGAGCTAAATTTATCAAAAATTTTAATTGAAAGGTGCAGAAACAAGGACAGGAGAAGTTCTCTTATATATTCTGTTCCACTTCCCCAAGTGCCCATAATATCTCAGATTAGCTAGACCGAAGTCAGGAGATGGGAATTTAGACCAGCTGTCCTCTGTAGATAGCAGGGAACAAAGGACTTCAGCCATCACTTGCTGCAACCCAGAGTGTGCGTTAGCAGGAAGCCAGATCAGAACAGAAGCAGGGACTGAAACCTAGACACTCCAGTTTGAGTGGCAAGTATCCCAAGTAGCTTTCTAATTGTTGTGTGAAACACGGGCTCCCACTGAAATTTTTAAATGAAGCTTAGATCTTTTTGTTAAAATCTCTTCTGGCTTTTTGTTCATTTTTCTCCTTTCTTGCACTAACACGTTATAGATTCTTCACCATTAGATTAATATTTAGTAATTCTTCAAAGAAATAGCTATGCTTTCCCTGAGAAACATCCATAATATTTATGTTCTTAGATAGGTAGACACTAATGTTTAGGAAATGAAATGTAAACCAAAGATTTCCCTTTTATCCCCTTGGATTATTGAGCTGAGTAGATAGCATCTTATAAAGTCACATCTGTCTTATGTTGAGGCCATACGAGACTGAAGAACTTACCGGTAATTGGTTTGGTACAAGCTGCACACTTTTTGGCATAAAGATGAATGTAGCAGTCCATGCAGAATGGATAATCATCTTTGGACATGAATTCTTCTTCACAGAGCTCTTTCCTGCAGCCACTACACAGAAAACACTCTCTGTGCCAGAGTTGATCACGAAAAGTTATTCCATCTGATTTTATCACCTGCAAAGAATCACAAAATAGGTGAGATCATGAGAGCCAATACAATTCAAATCACGTCATGAATCTCTTCTTTGTTCAAAACTGATGCTCGGGGGTTAACCTATAACCTTGTGTTATGGTGAATATTTTTAAAAGAATTCTGTGATTTTTAAAATTTTATTTTTAACCAGCATAAGAAGCCAAGGTCCACATGGATTATATTAGAACTGTCATCGTGATTTGAGTGCTTCTAACAACACGCATGTTGGAATTTAGTTCCTGCTGTGAGGTTTTAAGAGATGGGACCAGGTGAAACCTTCAACTAATTGGGTAATGAGCATTCTGTGCCCTTATGAATGAATTATCTCCTTCATAGATTTGTGTAATAATGACTAATGAATTATCAAAGGAATGGCTCTTTTGGTGTGTGCTTACACTGTCCCTGTGTTAAGACTTGGTAAGAAGGACACCACAAGTAGATACCAGGACCATGCCCACAGAATTCCAGAACAAGTAATTTACACAACTATGTTTTAAAAATGAATTATCCCATGTGTGATAATGTATAGCAACGTAGAATGGATTATGACAACTGCCAAAAGAGGAAAAATCTAGATAAATTCCCTCAGTGGAACAAAAAAGAGGCAGAACCATTTAGGACTCAGGAAGATGTTAAACTAATATTAATAATAATAATAATAACAAACAGAACAACACAAAAAAACAGGTCCTTGTTTACTTTTCATCATCCTCTAACTTTTGTTATTTGGTCAATGTAGTTCAGCCATTAGAACTGAAATATTTTCTGTAATATGTTTCTATATTCACATCTAACTTTCAAATGTGCTGAAAAAGAATCATTTTATAGCAAGTTCCAGCACATTCAGAAATAGCAGTCCTGCGATCCGTGGTGATTGTTGCTTGGGCTTAGCCTCAGCATCAGCTGGCAGAAGCTGGCACTGGGGGCTGATTTTGTCAAGTTAAACCACAGAACCACCTGGAGCATGCATAACCCGGGAGTGGGAGTGGCCTGGGAGGGAAATAGTTGGCTCCTCCCTCTTGGGTTACCACCCCCATGGAAAGGCACAAAAACTAGGACAGGGGTTGGGGTGGCTAGATAGACACCAACAACATCCATGAAGGCTGGATAGTTGAGCTGGTTAGATGGAACTAAGCTTTAATACCCATTGACATGTATGAGAACTAAATGGGATGTGGGACAGACTGGACTAGTGTGCTGCACTGGCAAACCAGGGCAGGGGGTAGGTCTAGTGGGGGTTATTGTGGGTCGCTCCAACTAGGCTGCAGCCCACACTGGTTTGTGTGAGGGCTGAATATGTGCTGGGCAGAACCAGGCTGGACTGCAGCACCGTTGGTTCTAGTGGAAGACAGGGCTGGGAACAGAACAAACCCAGTGATTGCAACCACCAGCTGATCGGGGCAATGGACTGTGCTGGGCCTTGTGCTTGCTGGCACATAGAAGAATCTGGGCTGGGAACACCTCAAAGTCTCTTTGGAATTGAACTGCCGGACTCAGAACCCTAACCATGAAAAGACAGAGGACAGAACTAGTCAATCAACCACCTCAGCTATATGTTGGCAGTGAAAAACTGGGCAAATGGAAACCCTAAGATGGACTATGTCAATCAGTGGATTCTTCAACGACCTCATCGTGCTTGGAGTGGCGAAAGTGGCAGCAATTCAGAACTGTTGAACTATCAAGACCACTTGAGCAAGACCCTTGAAGCAAGCCCCACATCCAGGACCTGGGGTAGGTGGGAGACTGGGTGGGGCTTCTCCCTTAAAATCCCCTTTTACATCAGATATATGAAGGAAACAATAAAAAAAAGCTAAATAAAAATATATATATATATAGGAAGAAAAAACAGAAGTAGCAGTCCTGAATATAATTGGTAATAATCACCAACCCAACATTGACCAACGCTTTGTGTTTTTCAGTTCTCATGCACTATGCTAAGGGATAACCTCCCCTGACTATTGGTACCTCCATTTCGTAGAGACAATTTTCTTCGCCCACCTGCCTTCAGAGATGAACCACTACTTAGTGTTAAAGTCATTAAGTTACTTTCTGTAGCCTCACAGTTTCAGCACTCAAGCCTGCACAATCTAACTCCATAGCCTATTTAATACAACACTGGTATCAAGGTAACTTGACATGAATAATCAATTGAGGAGCCCATATTGAAAGAAAAAATATCAAAGGGGAAAAAAATCTTTGGCACACAGTTCCGACTTGTCTCTACACAAAAGAAATACTGTGAGAAGCTGTAATGTTACTGACTCGAGAACTCAATATAGTGAACACTGGTTGTTCTTGGGCTTTAAGGTGGACAGAATGGAATTTTGTTATATTTGGTTATCAGCATTCCACAAAATATGAATCTTTTCCAAAACAGTGTAATCCACATATTAAATGTGTCAAAAAGGCTAAGGAATTTTATATAGAGTCAGATGTTTTTTAACTTGTGTCATTTTTCAAATCCATGGCTATTGATCTCTTGAAGTTGCTGTGGAACCTGTAACATGCTGAAATAAATGTCTTACAATGTTTGGGAAAACATGATCCTGTGTTGGTTCCAATAATTTTTTTATTTAAATTAGCTAGATATAGAAAATGTAGAGAACACTTTAAAATCAATTTATTATTGACAAGGTAAAATATGTTAGTCTGATAGAATCTAATAAAATTATTCTGAAGATATTTTAACCTTACAGCAACAATCTTAGAAGTTAAAGATGTTTAATTTAAAAGATATTTTTCCCAGAGGAAAAGTAATATACTCCTTGGTTAACTAAATGAAAAGCATAATGGTGTGTGTGTGTGTGAAGTAAAGCAATTTAAAATACCCCCTACTAACTTCAAATGACTAGGGGCAGGCACAGTAAAATTCATGATTCCTTTGATTTGCTTGGTCAAATGATTAGCAGGCAATGTTTAAAAAGATCCTCAAAGCTTGGAATATGTATTCACAGCAAAATAAAATTTAGTATGCACACCGAAGGCTATTTAATGAGGAAGAATCAACTTGGGAATATTAAAAATAGTTTACTTGTGATTTTAGTCCTTCTAAAGAAGTACAAGGTTAAGATGAAACCTAGTATCTAAGCTTGTTTTTTTGCCACTGATTGATCCCAGGATTTTCCTGCAAAGTGGAGGCAATAATGGGTTTGTGCTCAGTTGATGACAAACCAAGTGTCAAAGAACACATTTAACTCTAATTGAACCCTGGGGAGTCTGAGTTCAAAGCACTTATAGCTTAAGATCACTTGCTTTTTAGTAGGAAGTAAATTTTAGGATAGCAAAATACAATCTATGGAAAAATGTTGTAAGGTTCTGCTAGCAAGTAGTTTTTACTTGTCTTTTTCTTTTAACATTTGATCTTTGCCTTAGATTGAAAAGAACTGTCATAGAAAATTTTGATCTGCAGCATTTATATCGAGCTTTCCTTAAAGAACTTGTGGTTTCAAACATTAAATCAAAAGTAATATAATTATCTATGTACTAAAAAAGCACACACACACACAATTTACAAATATCTAATCATTGCAAATCATATCTTAAATATAGTTAAAAGTACTTATAACCTGGAGAACACCAACTCTTTGTTCCTGATTGTGTGCATACTGATGAACTAGAAAAATCCTGTTGAATCCTTACCTCATTGAAACTTCACATTGTGTACAAGTAAATGATTTTAACATAATTCATACTAGTTTCCTCTATATTTTAGCCTAAGTCTTTAAGAAATGCTGCCTCCAGATAGTAAACTTACTCAGCTGTCCATCACTAAGATAAATGTCTCAATTTATTTCAAGCATCTGTTTTAAATGTTTGTCACTGACTCTGATGTTTTAATGGTATCTCATTAATTACAGGGCCACAAAGCTCGAATACCATTTTTCTTCCATGTTTTCTGTGTTAGTGCTTCTGGCAGAGCAATCACGTTCTTAGAGTGTGTAAGATGATTTCGTGGTATGTTACTACCAATTAGAATTACCAGCTACCATCCTAGTACCTTAATAACTACAATTTAAGAAATTGTCTTGGTATCCCTTTAAATGTAGTACTGGTATTGCTCATACGTGTAAACAGTTATTATACACATCATGTATGTGCATGTACAGTTAATGAGATTTCTACCTGTCCAGATGCAAATTGATACGTTACCTGGCAAAGTGTAGCTAGACCAAAAATATTTTTAAAACACTTTTCATGATTCATTTTTATTATCACAGTTTATGGTGTTGCTTTAAACTTATTCACCATACAGGTCACAGGTTTCTTCAAGAATACCAATACATGTATTATGAAGCACAGATCAGATTTCAGCATGACGATAGACATGAGCTGCTGTTTTACATAAAAACTTAGTGAATAAAATAGAGTTAAGTTTACCTCCAAAGAATATTTTTCCCCAGTTGGAAAATATGACTTGAACGGAAAACCAAATCAGAAGGCCTTGCATGATACTCTGGAGTTGGACGTGTGGTAACTTGGTGTCTTTGGTTCTCTTTCTTTCTGTCCATTGGACTTCCCTGATAACATTTTTAATCTTTTGAGTTCACAGGTCTACTCTTTGGAAATACAGAAGCTTCAAGCCAAGACGACATTTGTTTAACTGGACCATAATGGGAAGAGTTAACCATCCTATTTAAATTGGTTTCCTTCATCATTCTAACAAGCAAGTTCACATTTCCCTGAAATGATTAGCAGCTAATGGATTAAAATGTTGTTTTCCTAGAGATGTTCTGCATTCAAATGGAAATGTGTGCCTAACGCATATGTATATAAAAGCAACAAATGGAATTTTAAAAATTAATTAAGCTGCTTAGAATATGAAGTCATATTTTTAGTGAAATATTTTGGCTAGTAAAAATAGATGTGATAGATGGTAGCTTTGGACATACTACAATTTAAAACTGTCACAAATGTGTAAAGGCAAAACTGATATCATTGATCGATTTCAAGTATATAGTGTAGCTAAAAAAAAGCAATGATCTTGAAGATTCCACAAGTTGCATGAGCTTTAGATAATTACCTTCTTACAAAAGTTGCAGTAGTGAGCAAACTCCTTCTCAAAACAGGGTACACAATAATTGCCACTCTCTTTGGAGATCAAAGGCTTTGTCCCAATTGGTTGTCGGCAATGCTCACATACAAAGCAGGTTTCATGCCAGTGATTTCCCTTAAATTCCATTTTGCGAGAACCTATACTCCAAAAGTTAAGAATCTATTAGTTTAACTCAAATATAATTTAGATTTCTTTAGGAAACCTAGATTAAATCACTTGAAATACATATTTGTGGGAATTAGCTGTCCTTTTAGAAATATAGCATTTTGTCAGTTTCAGAAGCTTGCATTTTGGGAAACTCAGCAATGATTATGTTGGTGAATCCCATAACTAAAAACTGTTCCAAGCACCACTTAAGCTGTGGTCTGGAGTTGTGAAAAGATTTCAAGTAGAATGCTGAATGGCTGCTAGAGGCATAGAAAAATCAAGGCATAATTATTGTTCCAGGGATAACAGGAATGCCCAAGGCAAAACTGCTAAGATTTGTGCTGTGAAGTTATGACCTCTGATAAGTCAAAACAACAACAACAAAAAAACATCAACAAGTCTAAACACAAGAAAGGTTATGGATCTTGCTAACTTTTCATGTTCTTATGCTAATCTTCATAAAATTGAAAAGAGGATCACACTATAGATAATTACAGTTTGTAGATTGATTTTCTTTCTTTTCTTCCCTGACATGCAAGCCTCTCAAATCACTCTGTAAAGTTACAAAATGATGGTTGATATAATCTTTCCCTTCCCTTCCCTTCCCTTCCCTTCCCTTCCCTTCCCTTCCCTTCCCTTCCCTTCCCTTCCCTTCCCTTCCCTCCCCTCCCCTCCCCTCCCCTCCCCTCCCCTCCCCTCCCCTTCCCTTCCCTCCCCTTCCTTTATTCAAGATTTATTTTCATTGGAAAGTCAGATATACAGAAAGAGAGACACAGAGGAAGATTCTCCATCTGATGCTTCAGTCCCCAAGCGACTATAATGGCCGGAGGTGCACTGATCTGCAACCAGGAACCAGGAGCTTCTTCTGAGTCTCCCACATGGGTGCAGGGTCCCAAAGCTTTAGGCCATTCTCGACTACTTTCCCAGGCCACAGAGAGCTGGATGGGAAGAAGGGCTGGTGGGATTGGAATCAGTGTCCATATGGCATCTCAGCACGTGCAAGGTGAGGACTTTAGCAGCCAGACTACCACGCTTGGCTTTTCCTTTTCTTTTCTTTTCTTTTCTTCTCTTTTTCTTTTCTTTACTTTTCTTTTCTGTCCTCTCCTCTCCTTTCCTTCCCTCCTCCCTCCCTTCCTTCCTTTCTCTTTCTCTTTTTTCTTTCCCCTTCCTCCCTTCCTTCTTTCCTCCCTCCCTTCCTCCCACCCTCCCTTCCTTCCTTCCTTCCTTCCTTCCTTCCTTCCTTCCTTCCCTCCCTTTCTCCCTTCCTTCCTTCCTTCCTTCCTTCCTTCCTTCCTTCCTTCCTTCCTTCCTTCCTTCCTTCTTTCTTAATAAAGTGACAAAAAGAGAGGAAGACACAAAAAGGATGAGATTGTCCATCTGCTACTTCATTTCCCAAATATCCAAACAAACTAGTAGCTTTGGACTCCATCCAGGTGAAGACCCAAATATGTGGAGCACACTCCACTACTTTCCCAGGTGCATTAACAAGGAGTTGGATTGGACACATCCATGTCTCAAAAAATTGCTCTGAGCTAGGATGTCAGCAATACAGGCAGAGGTCCAACCACTGTGCCGCCAACACTGGCTTCCAATGAAATCTTCTTTCTGAAACCATTGTTTATGTCTAGATCAGGGTGTCTATGTAATATTTCTGGTATAAATTTGGTCTATGTCCTATATCTTCCATTCTGGTTTAAAATGTTTCTATGAATTAGGTATTTCTGAAAAAAATAAAAGCCTAGAACACTGTAATTTACCTGTTCAAGAATAATGAATGAATGGCATGATGACTCAAATGACTAATCTTTGCCTGCAAATGCAAGCAATCCATATGGACACTGGTTTGCACCTCAGCTGCTCCATTTCCCACCCAGCCATCTACTTATTTCCTGGGAAAGCAACAGAGGATGGCCTAGGTCCTTAGGACCCTGCACGCATATGGGAGACCTGGAAGAAGAACCTGGCTTCTGGTTTTGGACTGACTCATCTCTGGCTGTTGCTGCCATTTTGGGAGTGAGCCAGCAGATGGAAAACTTACTCTCTCTATCTCTCTTTTTTGTAAAAATGCTTTTCAAATACAAATAAATAAATCTATGCAAAAAGATAACAAATGAGGGACCAGCACAGTGGTTGTGCATGTTAAGCCTCTGCCTGAGGCAACTGCAATCCATATGGGTGCTAATTTGGGTTCTGGATGCTCTACTTCTGATTCAGCTTGCTGCATATGGCCTGAAAACACAGTGGATGATGACCCAAGTCCTTGGGACCCAGCACCCATTTGGGAAGCCTGAAAGAAGATCCTGACTCCAAGCATCACAGACTGGCCCATTTCTGGCTGTTCTAGCCATCTGTGTGTTAAACTAGCAGATGGAAAATCTCTATCTCTTTCACTGTAATTCTACCTTTCCAATAGAAATAAATCATTGAAAAAGGGATAATGCATGGACATTCTTTCATTTCTAAAATATGCTCAGTGTAGTCAAAGGCTTTGTGGGTTGGCACTTATTAAACAGCACTATAGATACAATTAGGAATCAGAGTTTCCTTGAGCATTTACCAGGCATGATGGTTTTCTTGCAGTGGAAACACTTAGAGGAGCACTCGTTAGAATAGCACTCAGTACATAGCAGGCGTTCATCCTTGGCAGCGAATGGCTTTTCCACCAAAGAATAGTTACATTTGGAGCACTTGAAGCATCCTTCATGCCAGTGCCGGCCTTTGTAACAAAGATCCTTTGAAAATGTAAATAAAAGCGAATTAAATGTGTTTGTGACAAAGTAGGACATTTTATAAGACAAAACTAAACACTTTGGAGATTCTAGCACAAGCAAGTTCTGCTTGAGGTGGCTTGAGGTAAGGCTGTTGGTTACTGATACCATCATCCATCCAGAGTATTCTGGGTTATTAAGGGGAAGGGCATGGGACTTTGGGTTGGTTGCTGAAACCAACTGCAAAACAAGCTGCCTCTGTGCTGATTCTTCGTATTTTCCCCATTTGACTTTTTTATATTACAAAAAACTGTTTCTCTTAGATTTTGTACTCTTAGACTGCAATTCTTTGAGCTTAACAAGCAAAATTAACACTATCTGACTAAATAAAAACAATAAAGGAAGATAATAAGGAAGAAATGAGCATAGTAGGAGGAATGGGTGTGATGCATGGCAGGAAATCAGACAGGGCATAATGAGCTTTAGTATAGATATTAATGATTAAGTCAGAAATCACAGATTTTGATTCTTTACCATTAAGAATTTAAGAATTCTGTAATGTGCACTGGTTTTTGTCATGAACGAACCTAGCCCAATCCACACACTGTTCCGATGCTCAGACTTGCCAACAGGTGATATGAACTGATTCAGCCTCATCTGCCCCGACCTGTGCCAAAAGTATACCAGTGGGTACCTTTCCATGGCCTGTTCTGGGCTGTTCCCTATCATGCTTCTTGCGCTCTCATGCCGGGACTATGTCCTGCAAGAGGAGTTGCCCAGGCTCCTCTACTACCTCACCCATATGTTGGCAGTGAAAAACGGGGAAAACGGAGACTCTAAAGTGGACTAAGTCAATCAGTGGATTCTGCAGCGACCTCATCATGCTTGGAATGGCAAGACTGGCAGTAATTCATAACTGTTAAACTATCAAAACCATTTAAGCAAGACCCTTGGAGCATGCCCCACATCAGGGACCTAGGATGGGTGGGAGACTGGGTGGGGCTTCTCCCTTTATCTTCTCTTTTATCCCAGAAACAGGGAAAAAAATGTGGAAACAATGGTATTACCCACTTTCCTGTAGCCCTTGAAACTTTTACCGTAATTAGCTGTGTAAAGATTGTCAAAAATAAAAGAGAAAAAAATTTTAAGAAGAACTTAAGAATTTACCTATATTTATTGTCGAAATGGCTCAAGGTTTTAGCCATGTATTTTTAAGCAAATAGCTTAACCTCTTTAACTGTTATATCCTAAACTATCCCATAAGTTTATTTTGAGGTTCAGGCATATGTGTATTTCATACTGCTAAGCATTTTGAATGGAATATAATACATGTTAACGTCTAAGGTTGTCACATCTAGTAGTAGAAAAACAGTTAAATGTCAGCATTAAAGGCAAAGAGCTTATTCAAAAGCATTTATCTGCTGACCACATGTAGTAACTGAGGATCAAGATGAGACTTACCTTGGAATCTGATTCTATTGGTTCTTTGCATTGCTCACAATAGTTGGAGAAGATGCGATCATAACAAGAGATACAGTATGGACTATCATCCTTTAGGACATACTTCTTCCCCAGAAGTGACTCTGTGCAGTATTGGCAGTCAAATTGACTAGCCATCTTTTTAGTTAGATCCTGTAAATAAGAAAATAATCTATGATTATGAAAGAAAATTTTTGTTTATAAGTTAAAAAGCCACAATGCAATTTATGAATTTATATAATCTTAAGCAAAATGTTAGGAAAATATGTTAATAGTCATGGTGACACTTGGCGTGATTTAAGAAAGGGTGCTCTTCATTTTTGGCAGTTCCTGTGGGGTTTTTGCTGAAAAAAAATACGTCAAGCCAACCACCAGATTGTTACACCTATCTTGCATTCATCAGGAACTAATGTGAAAGTTAATGGGAATAATACACATGTTGAAACAGGATGATTTTACCATAAGAATATAAAAGCCAACTGTTGATAGGGCTTTTACTCTCATCACACAATCTTGGTGCAGAGTTCTAGATGTGGAGTTTGACAGAAATGTTACTTTTACTCAAATGCAAGTAGACATTAATAATAGTGTGTATTGTAATTTCACTCTCCCTTCCTTGGCTTAAAGATTCATATTATTTTTATTGGAAAGGCAGAGTTATAGATAGGAGGAGACACAGAGAGCTCTTCCACTCCCTGATTCACTTTCCAAATGGCTGCAGCAGCCAGAGCTGAGCAGATCTGAAGCCAGGAGGAAGAACTCAGGACTTAATCTGAGCCTCCCATGTGGGAGCAGGAGCCCAAGGACTGGAGCCATCCTCCACTTCTTTTCTAGTCCATAAATAAGAAGCCAGATTGGAAGTGGAGCAGATGGGATAGGAACCAACACCTATATGGGATGTCGGGCACCACAGGCAGAGGCTTAGTCTACTGTGCCATGGCCTCTCCTCCCCATTTATTTATTCCTGAAATTGTCCTTTGATACTTAATTATAGCTATTCACATTAATCTTAAGGTCTATGTGTTTCATTTACCTCCTTTGGGAAAATTGTTGTATGTGGCCTCACTCATCTTAAGTATACTATGACTAAAATCTCTCTGCACTTTTTTATTATCTTTAGTGTCTTTAACAACTCAAATGTTTCACAACAGACTGGAAAAATTAACTCCTTCATAGGTAAGATTCAGTCCAAATGCGAGGCCTTTGTAACCACAATTGAGAAATTGTCCAAAATAGACAAAGACATGAAAGGTAGACAAAGACTGCGATTTTCTTCAGGCTTTAGGGCTACATTAAGAAGTAGGAAGGATAAGCAGCAGAATTAACATCTTTTTTTTAAAAAAAAAAAAAAGATTTATTTTATTTTTATTACAAAGTCGGATATACAGAGAGGAGGAGAGACAGAAAGGAAGATCTTCCGTCTGATGATTCACTCCCCAAGTGACTGCAATGGCCAGAGCTATGCCAATCCGGAGCCAGGATCCAGGAACTTCTTCCAGGTCTCCCACATGGGTGCAGGGTCCCAAAGCTTTGGGCTGTCCTCGACTGCTTTCCCAGGCCACAAGGAGGGAGCTGGATGGGAAGTGTAGCAGCTGGGATTAGAACCGGCGCTCATATGGGATCCAGGCACGCTCAAGCGAGGATTTTAGCCACTAGGCCACGCCACCAGGCCTCAGAATTAACATCTTGCAGAATAAAAACCAGTATGAAACAGAGCCAAACCTAGAATAAGAATTATGATTGTTTTATAAATAGGGAGACTATTATGAAAGAAAAGGTCTTAATTAAATATTGCACATGAATTTTCGTTTTTTCCAAAAGCAGTTGCATGAATTTGCTTGTAAAATTGGATTTGTCATTTCTGGATATACAGTAATAGATCAGAATCTGCTTTACCCTTGAGTTAGTATTTTTAGTTTTAGCAAAACCAGAAATCCAGTTAATTGTTGTGATGCCATTTACAGTATTTTCATTGCCAGTTTTAATTTACCAAATTCAACTGTTGTTTTTTTGTATTTCGCCTATTACAATGCAAAGCAGAATGCCTTACTTAGTACACATGGCCATTTCACTCAGTTTCATTGTGTAAGCAGAGAAGAGATGGAAGCTTCAGTCTATGTGGGCCTTTTCCCAGGAAAGATGAAACTTCACACTAGAAAGCTGCCAATGGAACATGGCCAAAATCTCCTAGCAAGGAACATTGAATTTGATATCTGAATAATTCCACAGACAGGTCCCTTCCCGTTGAGTACAAGCTCACTCAAGGGTTACTGAATGCCAGAGGAAAGAAGGAAAGTAGATTCTTTTCCCTTGAAATGTTTTAAAATAGGTTTTCCACATTTACTGTGATGAGGTGTTTATTTATAATAGTAGAATAAGGAAAGCATCTTTACTATTCATTGATGAATAGTAAAAATGTCATTTTCAACTTTAATAAGGCAGATAGTCTTAGACGTATGTAGTAGCACCGTGAAGCATGGCATGTCACAAGATGGAAACTTTCAAATTATTTGCTCTTCATGAGATTTTTACTATACTATAAAATAAACAGTGAAACATTGCAAAATTGATGATACTTCAATTTTTAAAAATGTAAACAGTGCTGTAAACACAGTCCTTGTGTCTCTTAGTGATCAGATCACAAATCAAAGGTAAAAGTGTATGGTTTTTCCTCTAACAATCACATAATAGCTCTTGATCCAGAGAAATTCTTAAAAGAATGCATCATGTGTCTTAAATTTTTCAAAAGAAAAAGCCACTTTTTGGATTATGTTTTGTTAAGGCAACACTGGAGAATTTTGTGAGGTAGGAATAGAATCAGCCCATTACTCAAAACCCTTTTGGATTTGCTTTGTGGGGCTACAAAACGAGAACAATATATTTAGCCCAGAACAACATTTATTATTTACTCAGTGGCATGTGAAATCTCTTCCCTCAAGAAGTGTAGATTTCATTAGCTTTGCTACTAACCTAGAAAGAATAAGCATAACGTTAAGTACAAGAACATTTTATAAAGTCTGTCACTCGATTATGGCAATAGGATACATCTAAATAATTTCCTAAAAAATGACCAATTTTTATGTGTTATGTCTACCTTGCTTCTTCCTCCTCTTCCCTTACTTTTCTACTCTCTTTCCCTCCATTTTCCTTTCATTCTTCTTTTCTTTCTTCCTCCCCTTTTTCCTCCTTTCCTATCTTTCTTCCTCTCTTCTTATCCCTCTTCCTGTGTTACAAGATAGAAGAAGAGAGGGGGGAAGAGAGGGAGAAAGGAAGGAAGTGTGCAGGGAAGGAGAAAGGACAGGAGGCAGAATTATTTTGATTTATTAAGAAAGGGAAAAAGACAAGTGAGAGAATAAATTAGACAATGTGCAGAGCTATAGCACGCTAGTTATCTACCTGTGGAGCCAACATCCCATGTAGGCGTTGGATCATGTTCCAACTGCTGTACCTCCCGTCCAGCTCCCTGCTAACGGTCTGGGAAAGCAGCAGGGGATGGTCCACAAGCTTGGGCCTCTGCACCCATGTGGGAGACTTAGAAAAAGCTCCTGGCTCCCAGATTTTGACCCATACAACTCCAAACATAAGAGCCATTTGAGGTGTTGTTGATTTCTTTCTCTCTGTCCCTCCCTCTCTCCTTCAGTAATTCTGACTTTTAAGCAAAATTAACAAATCTTTTCTAAAATGAGTCAGGAATAATCTTTATGTGAATCTATTCAGCGTAAAATAAACCTTGAGTCTTCAAAGCTTTTTGAAACTATATAAACCTCTAAAACGATTTATTATTTATTTTTATTTTGTTTAAGCTTTTTCATTTATTTTTATTTTTATTATCTTACAATGCAGTTCCATCATCTCTTTTGGACCTCCCTGACCCACTCCCTAGGTCCCCTTCTTCCTCAAATTCCTGTGTATTATTACAATAGTGTACTTCTTCATAAATAGTCTATCATTGTGGGCATGGACAATGGCAGAGAGTCCAGCATCCTATTGTCAGGATAAATTTAACAGTTTCACTGGGAGTCCATCTTTGATCTGGAAGTAGACATGCATACTGCAGTATCCTCATATCTGGATATGATAGTCTCCATTACACAGTTACTATACATCCCCTTAAATGAAAAGCTACAATGCATAATCAATAACAGGAAGGAAAAAAATAAAAATGCCATAAAGTTAAATAACATGTGACTGAATGACAAATGTGTCTCCGAAGAACTGAAAAACAAAATCAAACCTTCTCGAAGAAAATGATCTATGAATAAGTAAAGAATTTAACGTGAGAAAAAAAAATTTTAAAGAAGTAAAAATAAAAACAAAAACGTCAAAATCCATGAGTTAGTTTCCACTGATCTTTGTTGGTGAGATGTGGCTGCAATAGGCCCCACCAGGTTGAGGGGTTTTGTTTTTTTATCTAGTGTATTAATCTATGACGTTTGGTTGATGAGCTTAATTCTTTTACAGCCGGTTGGCATTAATGTGAGTGGGTGGTAATTTGGTCCTCTCATTAGAGCAATGGGCGTTCATTGTTTGATTTAGTCTTCTGTTGTTATTTTACTGGGATGTTCTTCACATTTGCCTTTAGTTTTGGTGGATGCTATTAATATTCTCAGTCAAGAGAACATCTTTAAGTATCATTTGTAGGGCAGGTCTGGAAGAGGCATATTATTTGAGCTTTTCTTCATTGTGGGAGAATTTTACTTCATTTCCTTTTCAAAGACAAAGGAAAGCTTTGCTGGGCACATTATTTGGGGTTGAAAATTGGTTCCTTTTAGAATCTGGACGATGTTACTTCATTCTCTTCTGGCATGTAGTTTAATCTGAGAGGTCAGCTGTCAGTCTGAATGGGATGCCTGTATATGTCAATTGAATTTTTTCATGTGCGCATTTAAGGATCTCTTCCTTACATTCAATTAAAGAGATCTTGATTATCAAGTGTCATGGTCAAGATTGCTTTTGGTCAACTCTGTTGCAACTTTTGTGCCCCTCATGGATATTGTTTCCCAATTCTTTCTCCAGATTAGGGAAGTTTTCATTTATTATTTCATTTAATACAGCTTTAAATCCAGCTTGTCTTTCTATGCCTTCTGGAACTCCCATACTTATATTTGGGCTGTTATTAGCGTCTCTTTATTCTTGAATATTTTTTTTAGCTT